TGATTCTAATCCAACATCACCCCAATCTCAGTGTAAACTAGTCTCCAAATGTGCCTGCACAAGACTGTCACCCCTGTCACCCGGCATTCACATTGCCTTAACCTCCTCAAGCTTGTCGGGGTGTGACACGTGGGCATGAACCTTGTGACAATGGGCATTGTCACAAAGAAACTGGTTGCAATCAGAAATGCATTTTTGCTCATGCCAGGTTACCGACATTGGTTACCGATTACTGGGGACGGTTAACGGATAACGGTTTGCCCGGTTATCCTACCGACCGGTTACCCATCTCGTTAACTGGACCCGTTAGGTCGGAACCGGGCCGGAACCGGCCTGGAGTATGCCATTGGGACTCGTGCTCAAGCCGGACGTGCTGCTGGGGACGGACTGGTTTACGCAGGTACAAATGCCAGGGACGATGTTGAGCATGCGCCAGCATCATGTGTTTGACGGACTACTATTATCATCATGTGTGCCTGCATACATCGTGGCGTGTTCTAACGGCACCTACTGCTCACCCGTCAACCCAACCACATACGATTTCAAGTGGAGATGCGTGCACCTGTGCATTCTGGCCTCCTTTGTGTTGACCACAGCGCCTGGTGTTTCATCTACCTGCAGGCCCTGGACCACCGCTGCAACAGCCACAGCAGCAAGGCCAACTTCGAGAAGACGCACCGGGCACAAGCTACCGGGGATGCCAAGGTTGGGCTGCACTGGTTCCACGCGCTGCTGCGCAACGTCCTCTGCCACGGCTATATCTCGGAGCAGCGGCAGACCCTGCAGGCCTACCCGCCGCAGCTGGCCACGCTCCACAGCAGTGGCCGTGTCGGCAAGGTGCTGACCAAAACGTACGACAGCCCACCGCCCGCACGCAGCAAGGCCCTGGTCGTGTCGGCTGCAGCATCACCCAGGGCGCAGTTGCAGCCGCCTGGCGCAGGGCCCGCCGTGCACCCCATTGTTTCGCTGCATTTGGGCAAGTGGCTGGGGTGTGCCTCTGGCGCTGCCGTCATTCCGCGGCGTTACGTGGTGTAGATGTGAGTGGTCCGTACCACCTGGCAGACCTGAATCATGTTATCACGCGGTGTAAACCTGGCATGCGCCGCTGCTGAGAGGCGGGTCGTGTGATGAAATTCACAGCTTTGCCCGATGAGGTAGCCCTGGCATGTGGTGTGCGTGGTGGTGGGGCTGGGTGGTAGAGCAGCAGCACCTGTGCAGGTGTGCAAGAACTTGAGTGGCGAGTTTCTTGGCTCCTATGAAGACACGGTAACCAGTTGCATGGCGCTGCTGCTGTGAGGGGGGCACTCCCTCGGCACTGGACGACTTTGCTAAGCACATGCTGCAGCGCGGCTTTGTGCTCTGCCGAATGGCGGAGGCGGACCTGCAGCAGGTGGTGGACAGCTGCAACGGCCTGCTGCCTCCAGGCACCACGCAGATGACGCGTAGAACAAGTGTGCGCGTGTTTATGGTCGCGTTTCCCGGCACCATCACTGAGCACTGAGCATTATTGGCAGTTTTACGAGTATGTGCGAATGCATTTGGAGTACTGGGACAAACCATGTGTGCGGACCTGTTTGGTGCCCCAGGACATGGGGAGGAGGACGAGGGTGTGTGTGGGCGGGGCGGGGTCCATGTTACATTGAAGGGGTACGAGTGCTAAGTTTGGCACGCTTGCCTGATGTGTCTGTAAAGCTTGCATGTTGCTTTATAAACACGTTGTGGTACATAAAGTTTTGTTTGTGTGAATTTGAGGGGGGGTACGGATGCTAATTTACAGATAGCTGGGAATTGTGAAGTGGTATGTGAAGGGGTTTCACAGGGACTGAAGTCTGTGTGTGTGTGTGTGTGTGTGTGTGTGAAGGGGGGTAGTCGGTTAGCGATTTGACAGACTAGGGCATTAGGGCTGATGACGAAGCGGTAAAAGGGCAGTTAGTCTGTGTACGTTGTGCGCCTGTAAAGCCTGTACCTTTGCTGATAATGCTGAAAAGGCGTGTCAGTACCTAAAATTCTGTTTGTGAAAATTTGAAGGGTTACGGGTGCTTTTTTACGGCATTGGTAGGAAATGTGAAGCGGTATGTAGAGGGGCTTTACAGGATAAGAAGGGGATGTGTGGCCGTTAGTCGGTTAGGATGGCGGTGGAGGGCAAAGGGCAGCAGGAGGGGCGGGGTCAAAGTGAGTTGGGCTGTGAGGCATGGGTGTACAGGCATGCTGCACGGGGCGTGCTTGTGTGGCGTGTGTGGCCGGCAACACTCACCGCGCACGCATGCACGTGCTCGTGCACAAGCAAGCTACATGTTCGACCGTTTGTAACATCACGTGACATTAAGGCCCTGTCCATCTACCTACCGGTGCAGTGGCCCCACCTGTTGCGCAGTAGTCCTCTTGCAGCTGGCAGCGGCGCCCGCGGGTGCAGCCAGTCGGTGGCAAGGCAGCACCCAGCACCAAAGCTGCGCGGGAAGGAGACAGGTTGGAGGTGGAGTTGAAGTCGGCGCAAACGCAACACAGCGCCAGGCGCAGGCGCCACGCAAACACAGGCGATCAGGGGTGCCAGTCTCCAAGACTGGACCGCAAGTCAGCATGCGACATGCCCCGGTGCGTGCAGGGGGGATTTAGCCGCGGCAGGAGCGGAGTCAGAATACATAGTGTTTATAGGCCATCTGCAGTTGTCTCGCAGATTGCTGTGGGCGTGATTGCTGACTTCTGGTCGCGCCTGCACACCTATGTTAGTTTGGGCATTGCCCCCAAGGGTTGGGAGGCGGTGCCTGCGCACCATCCTTTCCTGGCTCGAGGTGCGGGTGATCGCGTGGTTTTGGTTTTGCCTGCGGACGTGGCCTCCCCCCCGCCCTCGCCCTGAGGGTGTGTGGTGCGCGGTGCTGTCGTTCGGGTGCGTGCGTGTAGGGTGTCTACAGTGCTCGCAACTGTCGGCTGGCTGCGTGTCGGTTGTGTTGTGTGCCTGTTGGCAGCCCCGGGCCGCGCTTAGTGCGCTAGCGTTTCAGATGCTTGGAGGGTTGGTGTGAAGATGAGGCTCCGGCCGGCTTAGGCTTTGCTGGGACTTGTGCAGCGCCTTCCCATGTGACGGTTGGCAGAAAGACTGGGGGGAGGGCGGTTTCTCTTCAGGCCAGAGTATGGTCCCTTGTGGCACGTGTGCGGCGTACACGCTGCTTGTCGGACTGTCCCGTCTTTGTAATACCGCATCCATAAAAAAACACTATGTATTCTGACTGAGCGGAGCGCGCCACAGACGGAATGCGTGATGTTGCTTACCTTGCATGCCTCCTGGGCGCGCGCAGCCGCAGAGCAGTGCATGGTCGGCTTGCCTGTGGAGTGCTGGGACGCATTCGAGGATGGCGACCGACTCAACATGGCGAGTTGACCCTCGCAAGGCGTCGCAAACCTATCGCGGCAGCAGTAGCTCCCAGCACGTCCTGACTCCCTCCGGCCCCTGCTACTATCCAGCCGCTCCGCTGCAAAAGCACAAGCCCGTGAAGCAACAGCACACACTGGCTGGGTCGTTGCCGTACACCCCCGCTGCTACTACCCAGCACCTGATATTCATGCCAGCCAGGCTATAGCACACACTAGGGGTCATGCATCGCGTCTTGAAGTGCGGGTAGAGCTGGCGGTCAATGGGGTTTGGGTCTGCGAATTCCAGTGTCTCGGTAAGTCCACTGTCGCCAATGCGCTGGCGGAACGGAAAGTTATCTAAGTAGGACTCATCCGAAGATGGGAGGTGCTGAGTACTGCCAGGCGCTGAGTACTGCCCAGCGCTGAGTACTGCCCACTGGTTGTCAGGAGTCATAAAACATGCTCGGCACTCGTGCCAGCAACACAGCGCGGCCGCTTGGGTACAGTAACGTCAGCCGCGCACGCAACACTTTTAGTTGCGCCTCCTGCTAATCTCTGTGCTCTTCATGTGGGTCGGGACTCTCTTTGCCCTTCGGGACTTCGCCACCATGCCCCTTTCCATGTACCATCGCATGCTCGGCACTCGAGCATGAACATGGTGCATCCGTTCTGCAGTGCAACATTTTGGACGCGCTTGGGATAGCTAAAACTGTCGGGGCAGTACGAGCTCTGGGGCAGCATGTCCATGCCAGCCTTGAATGCTGTGTTTGCGGTGTTGGGGTGTCAGTCAGGTTGCGCCCAAACACCCAGGTTGCGACAGTCGGAGACGTGGGGATCATCTGGCGCAGGTAGAAATTTCCAAACCCAAAGTTGAAGGCCCCGTCGGCTGACGTAGATCCTGGCTGGAAGGGCCAGCGACTGCGAGGCGGTAACCAGCTGGTTCGTGTAATAGTCGAGCCGATCCATTCAGATCCAGCTGCACGCTCGTTGCTTAGGAGCAGGAATGTGCCCCTTGCGAAGGCCGGCCAAGAGAGCTGAACAACCAAAGTTAGTAGGCGTATAAGGGTA